TATGATTGGCTGTTTCCTTTGATTGTTATGTCATTGACTGACTGCATAGATTTTCCTGTTGGCTATTCCTCTGCTTCACCTCTAACCTCTCTGCTGTTTATCATTTTTCTCATTAGTTGATAGATTAGGTGTATGTCTATATGTCTATTGATTGCTGATTGAGTGACCTGAATGCCAAGCTTCTAGGAATTCTTTGACATTCTTTGTGTCTCCTCTCTCCCTCCATGATTTCTACACTGTCAAAATTCAATTCATCTCCAAAGTTGTTATCCACGTGCATTGAAATCAGTGATGAAATGTCATGGAGTTTAGTAGCCAATTGGTGTTCATGTAAACGAAGGTGAAGAGGGCGGCCACTTTGTTTAATATAGTGTTGACTACAGTCATTGCAGTTGATTTTGTAAATGATATTCGATTTGTCTTATTTGGTTGTTGCATCCTGCAGTCTGCATAATAGTGTTGGCAGGGAATTTGTTGGTTAATGAACCAGCCACACCAATTACAAGTGATCTCAGTAATATTGTCGTGATTTCTGGTACATTCTATATGTATGGTAGGATGATGCGTTTGTTGATTTCTGTCAATGACTTTGTAGTTGATGTTGTACGGAATAAGCAAAATTTTGCGGGTAGCTGTACGTTACAGCAGGTGTGAATGATACACAATCTATGGAAATTTGTGAACATAAAGATTGTTACAAGTTTCAAGATTTCGATTAGCGGCTTACGCCTAAAGATAATCTCATATACAATGTTTTGAAAAACAAAAATCAAGAATGGTTCTTGATAAGCTGTGCGGAGATGGGTAAAAGATTAAATAGATTTTAATAGTTCAAGAATAACTTGAACTGAATTTATGTTAAAAACAGGGAAAATATAAGGCTCAATAAATTAATGAATAGACGGTGGGAGACAATAGGTATAACTCCATTGTATTTATTCATTAGTGAGGCTTTAGGGTAATCGATGTTTGATAATAGTGCTGTAACAGTGTCATAGTTAATGAACTCTAGTAATGAGGTAACGAGTGAAGACGAATATCATTTAAGTGGTGTCAGTTATGCAGATGGAAGTCTCTGATAATTAGTAATCAATCCCATTGAGTTTGCAGATACGCCTCGGCTGCGAGTGCCGACAGGCACTGCACGCATTTAGAGTAGATCTCCTACCGATTTCAGTATCTCTTTATACGCAGAAGTCATAGATAAAAAAAACAGAATTGCTCTTAGTTTCATGTATACGATATCTGTCTATCAGCGCACCTCATGTTCCTGTTCTCTACTCACAAACATTAATCAAAGAATTTGAAGGTTTATGGGGATTTAGATATTTTCCAAGTTGGTATTCATCATGGACTGACATTAGTTGGAGGAATATTGGGAACATGGGAGGACTGAACAGCTGTGTCGTTCTAGTATGCTTGATGGTCGCTCTTCGTTGTGAATTGCCAGAAGTTGGAAATATGGACGGTGGGATTTCGATCCAGTGGCTCAATGGTAACATGCTGACCACGTGGCATGAAGGTCACGGGAGTGCGCTGCTGAAGTGTCCTATTCTGGGACGAAATGGCTGTCCAGTGATCTCAGGTTTTCAATGTTCCTCGAATTGATGTCAGTCCATGATGAATACCAACCTGAAAAAAATTAGTCAGAGACAGTGAAAACAGGGGACCATTGGATGGCTGGCTTCCCCTCAGAATGGGACTCCTCAGCACTGTGTAACCATCCCTCTGCCTTCATGAGGACCATACCCAGGACATTCAAGTTTAAAGGTGAGCACGCTTCATTGAGCTCCAACCCAGTGGCTCATTTTCTACCGTTGTCAGTTCACGATATAACGCGAACTTCACACAATACTCTCGTTGAGTATTTGTTCTGATGTCCGACTTGGTTTGACCCATTGGTCATGACTTGTCATTGGAACTTTAGGAAATCTTATCTCGGAGCATGTTGATGATGAGCTCTGAACAATAGGTTAATTAAAGATTTCTCGAGGATTTTGCTGGTTTAGTCAAGGTATTCGTCTGGGACTACTTAGTTCTCCAGGCTTTCAATGAATTTTTGATTTAATTCTGTTACCTAGCAATCACAAGTTAGGCAAGTCTGTCATAAACTTTTCTGAAATTATAAATTTTGAGATGACTCAAGATAATGTCAGACAGGGTTAAATCTTTTGGAACATATCACTCCATTTTGTTTCTGTTTTGCGGTTACATACATATTTTTATATTTTAATGCTCCATAGTTATGCTACTTATTATTAATAAGTAGTGTTATAATTCACTGAAAGTTTCAATATCCTAAGAGATTCTGAGCAGGAGCATTTCACTCCAAAGATTTAGTTCATCATTTTCTCTCTTGATTACATTGTTACGTTTTTTGCATTTTTCGTATGTTAATTTATCTCAGCGGAAAAATTTCAGTCATTTCACTTCTTGTCTTATCTCATGAAATGGTGCCCGTGTCATGATTAACTGGGTTTCATTAAATTCCACGTATTTTTGTTAGCTGCCCTGTATTAACTTCGCATTTAATCGAATGACAGATCAACACCTTAAATAGCCCTGCTAATATTTAATGAGCTTAAAATCGCAGATCCGTATTCCTGGTAAAGCTCGTCTTCTTGATGCTGAAGTTTCACATGCCAGTTGAGCATTAGATATGAGAATATAAGAGTAAGACTAGTGCAGTGTAGTAGAATGTAATTCCATTTTTACTGATTTATTAGATTTATCATACAGTGAAGGAACAGTGTTCTTTACTGGATCGCCTTTCGGATATAATTTATTGTCCATAGTCATATCAAGATAAATACACATAATTTTCAGATATCCTTCATATAGTCCTAATTTCTTCGCCCCCTTTGTGACATGGGTAATAAGATTTTCCACATATCCGGAACAGGTGCTGAGTCATTCCTGTTGTTGCATGTGTTAGGTGTTGATTCGATAAACAAAGATTTAGTTATCAATCTCTCCTTCCTCCCTGTTATGTTAGTTTCGAGAATTTTCACCCTGTCTCATCCTATTGTGTGGTTGTTTTTAATCGCATGCATAGCTGTGGTTGAGCTTTTTTCTAAATTCCTCACCTTACCAGGATCTACCAATTTTGACGTAGCTGTTTTTGTGTTCGGATAGCCTAATTGATCCTCATCGGCTACTTTGAGCTATCTTCATTGTATTGTGTTCTCTGAGCTGGGTTGTTTAACCGTGAAGCTTTCATCGCCTTGCTAAACGACATCATCAGCACTAACTTCAGTATGAAGTAGTGAGCTGTCAATATCTCTCCATGAGTGATTCAGTAGATTGTCTTGACCAACTGGTTTGTGGTTGGTTGTTTCCTTCGATTGTTGTGTCATTGATTGTATAGACTTTCCTGTTGGCTGTCCCTCTGCTTCACCCTGACCTTTCTGTCGTTTACCACTTTTCTCATTGGTTGATAGATTGGGTCTATGTCTATACATCTGTTGATTGCTGACCGACTGACTGACCTGAATGTCAAGCTCCTAGAAATCCTCTGATATTCTTTGTGTTTCCTCTCTCCATCCAAAATTTATACATAGTCGAAATTGAATTCATGTCCATAGTTGTTATCCATGTGCATTGAAATGATTGATGAAATGTCGTGATGTTTAATGGCCAGTTGGTGCTCATGTAGACGAAGGTGAAGAAGGCGACCACTTTGTCCAATGTAATGCTGAGTACAGTTATTGCCGCTGATATTGTAAATGATATTCGATTTGTCTTCTTTGCTTGTTGCATCGTCTGGTCTGCAAATTCCCTCCAAACACTATTATGTAGACCCAAGGATGCAACAAACAACGAAGACAAATCGAATATCATTTACAATATCAGCGGCAATAACTGTACTCAGCATTACATTGGACAAAGTGGTCGCCTTCTTCACCTTCGTCTACATGAGCACCAACTGGCCATTAAACATCACGACATTTCATCAATCATTTCAATGCACATGGATAACAACTATGGACATGAATTCAATTTCGACTATGTATAAATTTTGGATGGAGAGAGGAAACACAAAGAATATCAGAGGATTTCTAGGAGCTTGACATTCAGGTCAGTCAGTCGGTCAGCAATCAACAGATGTATAGACATAGACCCAATCTATCAACCAATGAGAAAAGTGGTAAACGACAGAAAGGTCAGGGGTGAAGCAGAGGGACAGCCAACAGGAAAGTCTATACAATCAATGACACAACAATCGAAGGAAACAACCAACCACAAACCAGTTGGTCAAGACAATCTACTGAATCACTCATGGAGAGATATTGACAGCTCACTACTTCATACTGAAGTTAGTGCTGATGATGTCGTTTAGCAAGGCGATGAAAGCTTCACGGTTAAACAACCCAGCTCAGAGAACACAATACAATGAAGATAGCTCAAAGTAGCCGATGAGGATCAATTAGGCTATCCGAACACAAAAACAGCTACGTCAAAATTGGTAGATCCTGGTAAGGTGAGGAATTTAGAAAAAAGCTCAACCACAGCTATGCATGCGATTAAAAACAACCACACAATAGGATGAGACAGGGTGAAAATTCTCGAAACTAACATAACAGGGAGGAAGGAGAGATTGATAACTAAATCTTTGTTTATCGAATCAACACCTAACACATGCAACAACAGGAATGACTCAGCACCTGTTCCGGATATGTGGAAAATCTTATTACCCATGTCACAAAGGGGGCGAAGAAATTAGGACTATATGAAGGATATCTGAAAATTATGTGTATTTATCTTGATATGACTATGGACAATAAATTATGTCCGAAAGGCGATCCAGTAAACAATACTGTTCCTTTACTATGTGATGTATCTAATAAATGAATAAAAATGGAAGAAGATATGGGAGCTTCACGAAATAAATCTACAGGTAAGACAATCTTGCTATAATCACTCAGGATTTAAGTTTGGTTATACCATATTGCCTATCAACTATGTAAACGTCTAATAAGTCATAGAAATGAACTTTTTTTGATGTCAACTATTGTATTTTGATAAAATCTTGGTGAAATGACTAAAAAGAAAATAACAAAGGAATTCATTTGTCTGTAGTAAGCTGTTTAGTTTGATTGAGTTCAGTTGAATAAATGAAGACGAGACAAGAAAACGAACTTAAACTGTTTATATAGCGTGCTTCTCTACCTCATTTCAACTCTTCTTCACTCATTCATTCATTCATTGATTCACTCAATAAGTCACACTGATGCACATGTATACACAACTAGCTACACACATTTACATTACAGTTAATTAGTACATTTATATACAGAACAGGATTAAATGATGGATGCTTATGTATAAAACACAAAGAAGAAGCTTTAGACATAATTATTCACCAATACACATATGAACTTCTATCTCTTATATATACGCATAGAATCACACTTCTTCTTTGAAAAGTTTTGTATACAAAAGAAGAAAAAATTAGAACAAAAATTTTCCGTAAACAAAAGGAAAGTGAAAACGAAATGCTTTTGGTGTTTTCAACTACCCCCAGAATAAAACAGACTTGGATTCTTATATAATCACCATAAAGCCAGATGACTTAATGATAACTGTATGAAATGAAATATATTGCGTTGTGGCACTTTGATTACAGTAATCCTAGTCATTGTAGTAGTAGTATTGGTAGTAGTGTGGGTAGTAGTGGTAGTAGTATTGGTAGTAGTGTGGGTAGTAGTAGTAGTAGCAGTATTGGTAGTAGTGTGGGTAGTAGTAGTACTGGTAGTAGTGTGGGTAGTAGTAGTAGTAGCAGTATTGGTAGTAGTGTGGGTAGTAGTAGCAGTATTGGTAGTAGTGTGGGTAGTAGTAGTAGTAGTATTGGTAGTAGTGTGGGTAGTAGTAGCAGTATTGGTAGTAGTGTGGGTAGTAGTAGCAGTATTGGTAGTAGTGTGGGTAGTAGTAGCAGTATTGGTAGTAGTGTGGGTAGTAGTAGCAGTATTGGTAGTAGTGTGGGTAGTAGTAGCAGTATTGGTAGTAGTGTGGGTAGTAGTAGCAGTATTGGTAGTAGTGTGGGTAGTAGTAGCAGTATTGGTAGTAGTGTGGGTAGTAGTAGTAGTAGTATTGGTAGTAGTGTGGGTAGTAGTGGTAGTAATAGTAACAGCAACAATAGAAGTGTGATGCCTATGCACAAATTAAAAGGAATGGTTATGAAGCTCTGTATAACTGATAATACAACTATGCATCAGGTTGTATAAACGATGATGATGATGATATCAAATTCAGTGGTAATTCTCTGTCACAATTTAATCTCTCTAGTCGATTCATTGAATTGGTATAATTTGGATATCTTTCAATATTCAATTCTATATTTGAATTCTCTGCTAATACTGGTAATCTATCTCGTGTAGATGCTACTTTTTGAGATGTATATCTACGTGTATGCCAATCTGTTGTAATCGGTCGATTGAGAAATTTCATATCATTACCAAATTTATGAATCATATCATTACATGGATCTAATGATGATGAAGGCCGATAGCCAATCGGTAATCCATCTTTTATCTGTTCATGTGACTGTTGTGAAGTCACCGAAAAAACTGTTGAAAAAGATTTCAAAACATATTTTTATGTGATGGAAATTTATATCTAACTATATATATATATATTAAATGTAATATTATAGTGTACCCATGGTATTCCAAAAAACACTTCGCTATACATTCGAAGTTTAATTTAGGGTTGGTTGATTCAATAAGAAATAAGTGATCACGTGAACCAAGTGAGTGAACCGCGTATACAGAAGGACTTCTTTTCTGCACTATCAAGTTTAGTAAACAACAGACACTGGTAAGCATTTTGAAACTGACTATTATTATTTTATATTATTAGTCCCTTGGGTTCCTAGTGGAACATACCGCTTCAGTAGCATGTCTCCAGTGAACTCTGTTCTCTGAGATCTTTTGAACCTGGTTCCACGACAGCCCACAAGCTCTGATTTCCTCCTCGCACGACCTCCTCCATGTCACCCTCATCTCGGACGTCTAACTCGTCGCTTCCCATGGGGATTCCACTCGAGCAACTGGCCTGACGCGTGATGTCCACAGTCGGCCTTCTCAGTGTATGCCCCACCCACCTCCACTTCCTCCTGCATATTTGTTGAGTGATAGGTTGTTGGTTGGTTCGTTCCCAGAGCTTCTTGTTGCTTATTCTTGTTATCCTGGCCATCTGATCTTCAGTAGCGAGCCAGCGTAGATGGCAGTTATTGATGAATGTCTTTAGTTTATTGGAAATCCCTTTCGTGACGCGCCAAGTTTCTGAACCATACAGAAGCATTAAATACTATACTATACTACTATACTAAATACTATACTATGCTAAACTATACTATTAAGTACTATTCTATAGAATAGTATGACAACCTGTCGATGAACTACAGACGAATATAACCAAATGAAATTTCCTACTACTGAATAACTTATCATTATTATTTGCCCCTTAGGTTCCTACTGCAACACAGAGCTTCACTAGCACATCACCATTTCACTCTCTTCTCTCCAGTCTGCCCTTTTAACATGGATCCAAGACTGCCCATCACCTTTCATTTCTTCCTCACACTATCTCTTCCATATCAACCTCCTCTTCGACGCCCAAATCCTCGTTTCCCCTCCAGGCTTCATTCGACGGCCTCACCTGACGCGTGATGTCCTCAAAACATTTCAGTGTATGTCTAATCCAACCCAGTTCATCTCCACTCTCTTCCTCCACATATTTGTTGGCTGATAGGTTCTTGGTTGGTTCGTTGCCAAACAGCCAGAAATCCTCCCTGCTTATTCTTATTATTCTCGCCATCTGATCTCATCTCATCTGATCTGATCTGATCTTCATTGTCAGTGTTGAGTGAGTGTATGTGGCAGTTGTTGGTGTGATGTATGTGAGCAGTTTGTTGGAAATGCTTTTCGTAAGGCACTAAGTCTGTGAAGCATCACATGAAGCACTGACTGACTTGGCTGATGAATTAGTGTTGAGAATCCGGATATTGTTCAGGCTTTATGCTGAGTGGAGTGGAGTGGAGTGGAGTGGAGTGGAGTGGAGCAGATCTCCACACTGATTATTTCAGACTGATGAAGTCTTGTATGCTGTCTTTCCGATCCTGGCTGGCTCTGACATCGTCATCTGTGCCTGTGCCACCTGTAGTTGAAAGGATGCTGTCTGCCTGCCGAAAGCAGCAATCATAACCTCAATAAGTTAGTGTTTACAGTCCTTAATTTCAGTGTCATATGACTCACGTTTGAGTTCGTTGAAGGAAATATGACTTCCGTCAAGGTTACGGATACTTCTTGTTAAAATTCTGAATCGATTGGGGTATCCTGTTAAGTACCGATTGCCTCCCGACTAACTAATATATATTTTAGTTCATCACAATGCTGAGTGGCTTAGCCTGGTGGCCAAATTGAAAAATGATCGAATAAATTCGGTTAGTACTCAGGACTAAAAAACATGAAATGGGTTGCTCTCTAGTGACCAGTCAATTTAAATTGAAGAATCTCCGTATACTTGTTGTAAGATTGACTCCACGCATAATAGTGTGCTACGTAGTTTGAAGTAGTTAGAACAGAATCCCACTCCATAACTTCACGCTTGTTGCAGAGGTGCTCATTCTCCAATGGCCTAAATTCATTTCAGAAACCTTAATTCAAATAACAAACAGGAATAGTGCCACTTTAGCTATAAACTACTTTACAAGTGAGGTTTGAAATGCATGAGCGCTACTGTATAACCACAATGGAAGGCGGGTTGATATTAGTTAGGTGATGAGTGCGAGATTCAACCATCTTCGGGGGAATAACTCAAACCAGACATTTTATATCATCTGAGTGAAAGACATAAGGGTAGATTCCCTGAATTTCAGGATCTTGTCCATTATCGAGTGTATAGTCTGTTTCTTTCACCATGTTCTCAGGAACTCCATAGATGTCACTACCATTGAGCTTCAGACTTACCAGATACTCCGAAATTATTCAAGTATTGTAAAGTCTATGGATCAGCGGTTGTTTTTGTTTTCTATGGGGTCAGGCTAATGTATGCATGGAGGTACGTTCAGAAAACTGTTGTTGAGCACAAATAATATATCTTATTCCACATAAGCATATTTATCGAGAGACACACGCACATAAATAGATCGAGAAGGCCAAAGGTGGTAGCCTATTCTCCCTTCAAAGACCCAAAACATGAGTACCATTTTAAGCTATTCCTGGTTAGACTCTGTGCACTTTAATTTCAAGTCACAGCTGACAGCGATTACACTGAACTCTTCCGTCAATATTTGGAATAAATAATGGTCCCATTTGTCTTAATCAGTTTTGGATTTCAGTGTTCCAGTGATGCATTAATGTTTTTTCATAACTTTCTTAAAATATAATAAAACGCATAGACCTCAGTTACGGTAATGAGGTACCAAAGGTACCAAAGTTAAGGATACCTGTTTTGATTAGATCAAAGTCAAACACATATCCCTAAAAATGAGATGCTCAAGTACTTGATATAGCCTTATTTTTATATGATCCATCCTATTTACAATATGCGAAGTATCAGAAGAAAAGGGGTGAGCTATTTAAGGGTTGAGTAGCGTTTGCAATCTTTGAACAGTTCATCTAGCCAAAGCGGACAGGAAGAAATCGTAATTATGAGTAATTCGCTTCACTTCCAACTGTAATCAGTCAGGGATAACGATGTTCAATGCGCAGTGTCTGGTGACTTCTTAGTGCTATGGTTTTTACACTATTCACTTGATAATAATATGTGCCAAGGTGGCATTAAGTGGTTCTTTAACTGACCTCAGTTCATGAAATTCGCACAAACTTCAAAATACCCTACTATTTGGTATCTGAACGTTCTAAAAAAACTGTGACCTGTGGGGTCAGCCTGTCGGAACTCAAGAGAATGCCAACTGAAGAATTTGGTGGGTAGTCGTTTTATATCGCGAACGGACAGGGGCAAGAAACTGTGGATCATTGCGCTCCTATCCAATGACTGAATGGTCAGCAAGTTAGCCGTGAGATTCAAAGCTTTTAAGCTGGATCCCTGACAGGGTCGTGAGTACGTACTACTGAGGAGTCCCGTACCAGGACGAAACAGTTGTCAAGTGCTTATAAGCTTTCAAGGAATCACTAACTGATGTCATTGCATGGTGAATGCTACTTCGAAATAAATAAACCACCCACAAGTCGCAGACTATAGTAATATACACATTCAACGATAAAATTATCATCTTACCTTGATTTGTTGATGAAGTCGGATTCAAGTCAACTGATACACCCATACAATTCTGTGAACGATTTTCATAACATCCATTATTGAATAAATTCGATGTTGGAAGAAGACAGTTATTACTGCTGTTCTGTCCAAGATAATAGTCTTCCGGTATAGAGATTGAATCATTTTTCTGATCTCTTGTAGAATAGTCAGTTATTAAAAAGGGTTCAGTGCCGTTATTTCTTATGCTCAACACTTTACTTCTTGGCATTGAATTGACAGACTGTGAGATTTTCTGAAATAATAACCAATGGACTACAATGTGAATTGACGATAGACAACACTTGGTGTGAGGTGTTGGAAGTCAAGTTGAAAGATGCTTTGTTCGACGTAGGGTTCTACTTTGGTTAGCACTCATAAATACGATATATATGTACACAGAGGTAAATTGATTACCTTCTCTGAGTATTTTAAATCCGCATTACTTAGTTCTAAAGTAAAATACCGTCTTGGGAGCGTATTCAGTTGATGATTAAACATGCGTATTGTTTAGATACTGGTGAGTAACCAATTCCATTTAATCAAATTCTATGTGTTGACCAAATTCTTCTGATTAGCTTTGGAATGTTGTCACCGGGTGAAAATAATCATCAACACCGAATTTCTTTCAGGCCTCAAAACTCCCATGTGACCAAATTGTGTATGTATCATCGTATCCAATAGGAGGTCAGGCCAAATGGCTCATTTGTGACATCTTTGGGTTTAACCCTAGATGAGACCAGCTTATGTCTCTAGAGTATCCATTTGCTGGGAGTACCTACAGACGGGAGTCCTATTTCCAAAGATTTTTGCTATCATTTTATAAATCATAATCTCTTAATTTATCCAGTATTCTAAGCCTATTGATTAGGCAGAATCTTGATTTTGAGTTTCAAGCTATACAAACTGTAAATTGATTGGTCATGGTCTAACTTTGTAGCGAATCTTTAAGTAGGAAGGGGAGTCTTTTGAGCTCATTCTCATCAGGAATAAGAAAGATGTTCAGTAATGTAACGCTTGTTTGAGAATTAGAAACTCTCTAAGGAATACTGTTAGAGAACGGCTGCTCATCCAGAATCGTGCAAGATTCATCTGATGCAGCCTGCTTGGGTTACCGAGAAACCTTCCATCGGTTATATTCCATCGGATTCTTCTCTTTCAGTCTGTTCGAATCTTTTAAATGTTTTCTAAACGCATCATGTAGTCTCGCATGTTATTTAAATTTGTTTTCGAACTTTCGTTTCTCAAGCTAAGAGCAAAAAAAGGAAAAGCGTTCCACTGGTTGGAAACGAACTTGTAAATGCTTAAAAATACACCATATTCCTAGTCCTAGGATATCTACCTTTATGGGATTATGAATTTTTGTAGTGACCAACTCAAATGCCACTATCAAAACTATACTCGATTTTATGTCAATTTCCGAGTTGAGAAAAGATGCTAATGTAACATTAGCTACCTACTTCACACTTATGACTACAGTACCGTTATTATTAACGCTACACAGACGGAGTAATTACTTCTTTCAAAATGTTGTATGGAAGGTGAATTGGTTGAAATATTGCATGCTGAAAATTCCGTTCTGTATCATACATGTTGTTTGGAATAAAGCGATCATTATTATTATTATTATTAGCAGTAGTAGTGTGAATAGTAATAGTAGTAGTAGTATTGGTAGCAGTGTGGGTAGTAGTAGTAATAGTAGTAGTAGTAGTAGTAGTAGTAGTAGTAGTAGTAGTAGTAGTAGTAGTAGTAGTAGTAGTAGTAGTAGTAGTAGTAGTAGTAGTATAGAGAGACGTATGGAAGGAAGGAAGTACATAGAAGAGATCCAGACAGCTTTGAAGAATCTGCAGTTGGAAGTTGATGTTCCTACGGATAGTCTTCTTTAATATTTGTCAAAGTCACTAAAGAGGATATTCTATACCTCGAACCTCAACATTGTGTTCTGATGTCAGGAACTCATTCGTCAGTGCATGAAAGATAAGTTGGCATATTGGGCCTCATCAAATTGTATGTACAAATTCACTTGCTCCTGTCGAGCTGAGTACATCGACTACTAATCGCTTGCATAGAAAATGCACTCGCGAGGACTATTCAGCCTAGTTGACGAAGAATGAGGAAAAAACTATCTTTAGCTTCACAGTTGAATATATTGTCGACTCTGGACATCTGGCTCCTCTGAAAACTTAGTTCAAATTTCTGCAAAATGTTTGACTAAACTGTTTAAAAGGAATGGGAATTAGACGCTGATGTCCTGCCCAAGCTTTCGCGTGTATTGTGTATTGCAAAGAAATATGTAGAAACACTCTCTTTATTGTGGCCTTAATCAGGTAATCTGCGCTTCTGTTCATATTTTATGTGACACAGTTGTGAAAATAAGTCATCGAAAAGATAATTATCTTCCCCTGTACTCTCTTTCTATTGTTCTAGGAATGTGTTCCATCTTTGATCAAAAGCACATCAGTCTAAGGAACCAAGTTGGTGTAATGTCATCTTCCTCTTTTAGATACACCTTGAATATTTAGGTATTGAAGGTACAATAATGCCATTGATGATTAATTTGCAAAGCAATTACTAATTGTACAGTTCACTTTACAATTATTCACAGTTAGGAAGATGATTTTGCTTAGCTGCTAACTATGTTATAAACAGATTTCCTATTGAAAACCATCCAGTCAAGATACCAAAGTGTGACACATAACTGTGATAGGCTAACTGTAATTAAGGTCAAGGCAGAGGACTAAATTAGGCATCATATGGAATAAATATCCCCACTAGAATTGGAGACTGTCAGCTTTCAATCAAACTGATGCGATTACTTCAAAACAAAAAGTAATACTGAGTAATCAATGAATGATAACCCATGAAATTAGCAAGTCCTTAGTACTTATCGGTTAGTCTGAAAAGTAATACGATACTATGATATACTGTGCCTTATGTTAGTATATATCCCTAAATAAAGGATAACTTTGTGCTGATTTATTACTGACCTATAACACAATGATGGTGGGAGTCAGTCAGCAGGAAGCCTAGGTTGTTGGCACTCATCATTAAGGCATATCTGAGATCTAAACCCACGTCAGTCAGTATGCAAGTCACTAGTGTCGCTACTGAGCTATCCGAAACACCAGTGAGTAACTCATGTAGTTGTCTTGTCTTCGGTGTTTAGCAATGGTTGAAATCTGTTGGTTAAGCTTTGCAATCTAACATTGAACTATAGTATACCATAGTGTTCATTACTTCGCTCACTTTCTACAATTTAAAACTTGTCAGACAGACTGCATGTATATATATATATATATATATATATATATATATATATATATATATATACTTCCTGAGGAATGAACGACCTGTATTGGACACTGAACAACTGATAAAATCTTAGTACACTCACCAACTAGTAACTTTTGATAGCTGAATGAAAAGAATGTTAATTAGATACACTTTCAGTCAAAATCAACCAATCAGATATTCAGATACTGAGTAGAGATTAACAAAACAATGCAAATATACTTAGTGAAACTTCAAGTTTCACTATTCAATTACGGTTAATTGTTACATCGATATTTTAAAAGCCTACCTAGTCGATAACTGAAGAGTTTAATTGACATATGTATCCATAGAATAAAACATTTCACCTACACATAAACTTTGCATAACAGAATAACAGTAATTAAATGAGAAGACTACTTTAAGGTAGTTTCATTGTGAAAAGAGATGAAAAATATACAAAGTAAACACTATGTAAGATTAATCAACTGAACTGCTGACTAAGTGGAAAAAAAAGAAACAAAAGTAAGGATAGTAATGATGGGTAGTGGCTAGCAGTGGAATCTAGGATCTATATTTCGTCCCATTTGGGACTCATCAGCTGGATGTACCTGCCTTCCAGAGACAGTGTAATACAAACAATAACACTTAAAGTAAAGACAACTTAGAATTTTTATGACATAACATAAGAATATAACTTACAGTTTGAGAATTTCCTTTGAATCCTGATCGACTGCGTTTTTTTAAATGTTTACGCCTGAATAATTGATATAAAGGTGGATTAGTCAAGCGAATATGATTTGTGTATTTGAAAAGTTAATAAATTGATATTAGTTAGAGAAGTGTTGAAAACATCAACGTACTGGACAGTGGATTCGTTTGAGTATGGTATTCCTCATCAGGGCATACCCATAACATCATCATGGATCAAACTCAAAACATCTACGTCCTGTGACGGGTACCTTACTACTGAGCCACATTACTTTTCATTCAGTATCATCGTTGAGTATCTGTTTTCACGTTCGATTTGATTCACCCTAAGGATCACGATGCCTCATTAGAACTTCAAGAAATATCATCTGCAAGTACATCATTAATCAGATCTATACAGTTATTCAGTTTTGAAGTTTGCGATGATCTATATTTATTGATTAAACGTTGTTGTTCATCACAGACTGATATCAATTATTGAGCATTACTGATGAATCTCAAACTAGGACGAAACATCTGTCCACTACTCTCAGGTTTTCACTGGTTATCCAACTGAAATCACTCCATGATGAACACTGACTTGAAATCAATAAATAAATCCCCACAAACCTCTTGGCAGTATTAAAGCTTCTATTGAAGAAACCTAGGCACCAACAGACGGTAAGTAACTTTTTCCAGTAAAATAAACGTCAGAAAGTTGAAAAGAACTGATAAGTTAATTCTAACTTGAAAGGAGAAAAAGTCAATAATCAGTGGATGATCTTTGTGAATGAATTAGAGTATTACTAATCAGTCAATCCACACAACTTTTTGTCAGTAAACGGTATCATACAATCATTGTTCAGTGTTACTAGTGAAAACATATTCAAAATAGTTTATGGCCTACAGTCATAACTATATCAAATATAAACTGAAGTCAAACACTGATTAGATCTGAACTTCATTCTAGATAACTGCGTTATGAGAATTCACAGACAGTAAATCCATCTGTTTAACAGTAGATTGATCTTTGAAGGTGAAGTTTTTAGGCTCTAACTTCTGGAAGGTACACAACGTGGAAGGTGTTAAATGAATTTACAGTAATTAAAATCCACAATAAAAAATGTTCTCCGATGAATGTATTCCCTACAAACTGCCAAATGAAATCATACTTTGTCCTTTTTAATGAGACTGTGTTATCGCTTGATGAATACTATCTGCGCCGCCTTTTTTATTAAGTTCTTCAGTGAATACTAACAGTTTTGTTGTACAGAAATTTGTTATGATTTCGCCAGCAAAATGGTGTTTTGCTGTAACTAATACACCTAAAGACGTCAATTACAAAATATACAGTAGTATTATCCACGAACCCTGTGTCAATATGTACCCAAAACATCTTGCTAATTAGATTTTGTCATAAGCACACTGTATGATAGTGAGAATGCATGGTGGTTAGTAGTGGAATCGGGAAGATATTATTATTTGTCCCTTAGGTTCCTACTGAAACATAGAGCTTCACTAGCACATCACCATTTCACTCTCTTCTCTCCAGTCTGCCCTTTTAACATGGATCCAAGACTGCCCATCACCTTTCATTTCTTCCTCACACTATCTCTTCCATATCAACCTCCTCTTCGACGCCCAAATCCTCGTTTCCCCTCCAGGCTTCATTCGACGGCCTCACCTGACGCGTGATGTCCTCAAAACATTTCAGTGTATGTCTAATCCAACCCAGTTCATCTCCACTCTCTTCCTCCACATATTTGTTGACTGATAGGTTCTTGGTTGGTTCGTTGCCAAACAGCCAGAGATCCTCCCTGCTTATTCTTATTATTCTCGCCATCTGATCTCATCTCATCTGATCTGATCTGATCTTCATTGTCAGTGTTGAGTGAGTGTATGTGGCAGTTGTTGGTGTGATGTATGTGAGCAGTTTGTTGGAAATGCTTTTCGTAAGGCACTAATTCTGTGAAGCATCACATGAAGCACTGACTGACTTGACTGATGAATTAGTGTTGAGAATCCGGATATTGTTCAGGCTTTATGCTGAGTGTAGTGTAGTGTAGTGTAGTGTAGTGGAGTGGAGTGTAGTGGAGTGTAGTGGAGTGAAGTGGAGTGGAGTGGAGTGGAGTGGAGTGGAGTGGAGTGGAGCAGATCTCCACACTGATTGTTTCAGACTAATGAAGTCTTGTATGCTGTCTTTCCGATCCTGACTGTCTTTGACATCGTCATCTGTGCCTGTGCCATTTGTAGTTGAAAGGATGCTGTCTGCCTGCCTAGGTAGGTAGGTGTGTTGTGGGGTGGTAGGTAGGCAGGTGAAATAGACTTCGTTTAGATTTCTCCCGTTCATAGTGATTGGTGCTTGTTGCTGTTGGTGGTGTTGGTTGGGTGTCTTTATCACCTCTGTCTTCCCTATGCTCACCTGGAGTCAGTCTTGTCTTCGCCACCCTGTCTCTTCTGCAACTTGTTAGTTTTTGCCTGTAGATTTTCGAGTTTGTGATACGGGACATTAGACATAAATCATCATCGTTGGCAAAATCAAAATCCTCTAGAATCTTTTCATTGGTCCAGCCAGCGTATGCACATCTCGCTACTCACAGTTTGTTGCATGATCCAGTCGACCAAAATTAAGAGGTCGATCAGTAATAGTAGGTGGTAGCCTTGTCTATATCCTGTCTTCACTTCGAAGGTGCCAGTGAGCTTTCCGCTGTGAATAACTTGGAGTGTAGCGTCGTCATATAGCTGTTGAATGAGGTTGATAAAGGTCTCTTGCACTAAACTGTCATATTGAAGCAGCTTCAGGCGTTTCATCACCTGAATGTATCTGCCACTGGGATATGTTTCTTGTTAAACATTAGAGAACTGCAATGCTTGAAGCCTATTTCAAACTACCAATACTGCAATCAAAGTTATCTGGTATTATGCACGCTGTTCCAATGATAAAATTCTGGGTTTATGACGTTATGACTACCTATAGCTGAATTTAGGTGACTGTTTCAATAATTAGTCGAATTATTGACAACCATCAAGCAATATATGAGTAACTGATCTTTTGTGGCTCCACTTTACCTCGGCGTTTATTCCATGATCAGTAACTTGTACTGTTATTCACCTCTAAGTTTATTTCATATCCGGAATGGAATGATCTGAAATTAGTTGATTTTAGTCACACTGAATGACAGTTTCACTGGAACATTATTTAGCAAAAATATTGTATTCCAGTTCCTTGATTACATGTTTATGATGAAACGTGACATATTCAGATTGAACCTATTGTAGAGTTATGTGTGTGCACACCACTGAGAAATTCCTTGTCTGGAAGCTATTCTTATCTCTTTTTCTGATGTCAGTACACAGTAAAATGTAACACAAAATTAAAATATGTCTAAATCTTTGTTTTTTCACGACAAATTAGGAATCTGATGCAGTTACATGCTTTAAATTCATTGCACTAATGAAGCGATATATAGAGCAGACACTAGACATGAATGCCAAAGGAAGTTGAATTTTATGAAGCGCATTCGATGATAGGGAAAACAAGTACTCTAGATAACTTTCGGATACAAACATTGGCTAGTAACTAAACAGAATGAAAGTTAAGTCTTATAAAATCATGCTGTGTGTTCTTTTCATGCACATTCTTAAGAAACAGGGGAGGGGATAGGAGAGGGAACAAAACTGTAAATATACTTTCTGTACAACAACAAATGAAAAACTTTTCAGAAAATTTTTGACAGCAAAAAACAACAATTAATTTACCTCATGCTCTATCTTAGTAAAATGTGGAGTGATTGTATTACAGACTATCTAACAGAAGACGAATATACTGCGTTGTTGTTTGCTCTCTCCTGTCATACGGCTTGAAGCGATTTCAGCGTTTTGATTACAGATATCTTTGTAGCTTTGCTTGTGTTTGGTGAAATCACCATGTGACCAATGTTGAGTTCAGGCGAATGGTACTACGCAAGATAGGCAAGTCATTTGCTGAGGTTCTAAACCTTAGTCGGCTAAGGTAGCTTGGACATGTACTATGCATGCCAGACCACCGCCTACCTCTATATGCCATGCTACGGAGAAGGTTGATTACGTTGGCAGAGCGTTCAAGGTGGTCAGATGAACACCTGGAAGCAGTCCATTAAGTCTCCAACAATTTGTATAGGCCGTGTGGAGGTGTGCAAACTATCTGGTTTGGGTGGTAGAGAACTCGTGGTGACATGCCTGAAATTGGTCACAATGGCACAGGTGTACTAGCTCTTTGATGTCTTCTAAAGCTTGAGTATTCTTACTAATCTTTATCTTCAGATAGTTCAATCTCCCACATAACTCTGTTTACTTCGATGTCAGTTTTTTCTATCCACCCGTTCTTTGTATGCTAGTATGAAATGTGGCAACTTTAACCAATGCTCTTGTTTGTGAAGCTCTGCGTTGATTTCGCCTGTCTGTCTGTAAGTCCTCGTTCCTCTGAGAAAAAGGCTTTTTGGTACATTTTCAAAGAACCTAAGGTATGCCTTTCCCTTTGTCAATGTGACTTGTAACTGCAAATGCGCAAAAACTTGTATATATAATTAGATGTCAATTGGGAACGGAACTCATCGACTTTGGTTTGCACTGCAGAAATACAGTGAAGCTTTCAGTCTTTGATTAATTTTTCCACAGATATCATTATCTTTTGAGTTGAGTCGAATTCAAACAGACTTCTTGCTTAGTGTTATTATTATTATTAGTCCCTTGGGTTCCAAGTGGGACATACCGCTTCAGTAGCACGTATCCAGTGAACGCTGTTCGCCGAGATCTTTTGAACTTGGCTCCACAACAACACACAAGCTCTCATTTCCTCCTCACATGATCTCCTCCATGTCACACTCACCACGGAAGCCCAACTCGTCGCTTCCCACCTGGATTCCACTCGAGCAACTGGCCTGACGCGTGATGTCCTCAGTCGGCCTTCTCAGTGCATACCCAATCAATCTCCACCTCCTTCTACATATTTGTTGGGTGATAGGTTGTTGGTTGGTTCGTTCCCAGAGCTCCTTGTTGCTTATTCCTGTTATCCTGGCCATCCCATCTGATCTTCAGTAGCGAGCCAGCGTAGATGGCAGTTGTTGATGAATGTCTGTAGTTTATTGGAAATCCCTTTCGTGACGCGCCAAGTCTCTCAACCATCAAACAGAAGCACTGACTTGACTGGATTGGTGTTGAAAACCCGTATCTTGTTCCACATGCCGAGTGCAGAAGATCTCCACACTGGTTTCAGGCTAATGAACGCCTGTCTTGCTGTCTTTCCGATTCTGACTTTGACATCCTCATCTGTGCCTGTGCTGCCTGTAGTTGAAACAGTGCTGACTGCCTAGATAGGTGAAGGAGGTTACTTCCTTTAAGTTTCTCCTGTTGATGGTGACTGTAGTTTGTTGTTGTTGGAGTTGTTGGTGCGGTATCTTCATCACTTCTGTTTTCATGTCTTCTGTGTTTGTTGAAAAACTTCTGTGGATAACCACTGTTTCTCAGGTTTTTTTCAATATTCATTATGTTTTTTTCCTCTTGTATTTCACCTTGTCGTGAAACAGCACTGAAGATGTCGCCTAGACTGACATTGAAAGTTCTATTCATAAGAAGTTAAGCTCAGAAAGCAAACAAAAAACTATCAGATTATCTACAACTTGGAGTTATAAAAGGTAAAAATATGAACAAGCAAAGAAAGTAAAAAAAAAATAATAATAACAGAACAACATACTGCATGCTTCTTTGTTGACATTTCCATATTCCATAGAACGTCAATACACTGATGGATGCACCAAAGAGTGTAAAAAATATACCACGTAATGTCAGTGTTGTAGCTAATTCATGCAGCATAGATTGTAGGTCATTTTCACGAGATTCAGCAAACGCTAAGTTATTTTACAAAGGGAAAAAAGAAACTTTTTAATTTGGACGCTAACAACAAGAAAATTTACATGCGTCACACACACACACACAAAGTTTACCTGAATATCACTATCGATAAAATTAATCACACTTCAGAAGGTATACATACATGCACGCAAAGACACAAAGAATGGAGAACACATACAGAAGAGATAAAATGTGCATGACCAAAAGCAAATCAGTGAAGAAGCGTTAATATGTAACCTATTTATCATGTTTTTCAAAAAAATATTGGACTTAAAATGTTCCCAGTATCCACTGTTTATAGAAAGAGGAAAAAGAAGGATGAGGAACAGATAGAAAACCAACTGGGCGGGAAAAAAACAGGGTAGAAGTAAACCTAGGTGACAGGAAATCTTGAGGATAACCAATAAGGTTATAGATACTTTATTCAAAGTCATTTGTTGCGTTCGTTTACTGTGTTGTTGACTGTGCTAAGGCGTTGCAGGTTACACGTGAAATTTAGTGGAGTATGTGGTGTGGTTGAAACAGATCAATATCTTATTCAGTGACAAATATTACCTGGGAAAACGAGTTGAGCAGGATTGGGTACATTACATGCATAGGTCTTACCAAAACATAGGATGAAGGACAGAAAAATCCTGTGCATTGGATACTATAATATACGCAGATGCTTGAAAGTTATACATACATCCATCAGAAATGAGTTACCCCTAATCAAGCCATTGTTCACAAGGAGCACTTTATATTGATCGAATAACTAGAGTACAGACAAATGATGTTGAAAGTATGTGGAGTTGTCTCAGAAAGCTCTTAAGATCTTTAATTCGATCACAGGGGGAAATAATATAGTCATATATGGATGAATGGCAAAGCGGAAAACAGTATGGTTTTAAAAATCATAAACCTATTGAAAACCTAGATGTCTTTATTTTTCATATAAACCAAATTTATAAATCGTAAATAATGTACCATTTCCCTAGTAATTATGTTGTCCTTCATACTCTTGATTCTGATTGGTCAGTGCATACTTGAGTGTGAATGGCCATCACTAACATTTTGTTCTACCCAAAACAAATCTGTCCTTATATATTACATGGCAGCGTAGTTCAGCCACTTCAAATTAGACAGTTAATATTTGAAATAGTAGATAACAGGTTCCAACTTTTTGTTGTTCTACTGAAGCCTACACACTGGTATACATTATCACCCTGTTTATATGCCAGGTATGACTGGTTGTCTAGTTCATCAATACATGTATGATTACTAATCATTGAACTGACATTATGAAATGGAAAGAGAAGCTCGACATACTGCAAGCCTCATATTCGTCTATGTAATTCAGTGATAAAAGAGTTTTACTATCAAAGGTGAGAAATATTTTGACACATAGGAATCGATTCTGACCGAGATGGAATCATCCACCAAGATAGTGAAGGTGATAAAAGTGTGTAACTTTAAAAGAATATTGAAATGGTCGCTAAAAGTTGTCCTCATCAATAGGTACCAGCTGAGATATTCACTGTAAATTGACAGTATCCAGCATGTTGTCATCTACGCTTAATAGTAATACTGTAGATTAAAAATATTATAACAAATGAAGTAATACATTAAAATTATGCTCAAAATGAGTCATTTCATATACAATTTGAGTAGAGTAATGATCACTGGTGTCAGTCACGTTACACAAAGCTTAAGTGGTAAAATATCAGATACTGGGAATATTCCCTGAGGTAATATGGAATGCCAACTGTTATTACTCCTGATGTCACATCAACTTGAAGATCTACAGGTGAAAACTAACAAGTTGATAGAAGAGGCAGCGAAGACGGGACTTCAAGTGAATATAGAGAAGACAGAAGTGATGAAGATACCGCACCAACAACTCCAACAACAACAAACTACAGTCACCATCAACGGGAGAAACTTAAAGGAAGTAACCTCCTTCACCTATCTAGGCAGTCAGCACTGTTTCAACTACAGGCAGCACAGGCACAGATGAGGATGTCAAAGTCAGAATCGGAAAGACAGCAAGACAGGCGTTCATTAGCCTGAAACCAGTGTGGAGATCTTCTGCACTCGGCATGTGGAACAAGATACGGGTTTTCAACACCAATCCAGTCAAGTCAGTGCTTCTGTTTGATGGTTGAGAGACTTGGCGCGTCACGAAAGGGATTTCCAATAAACTACAGACATTCATCAACAACTGCCATCTACGCTGGCTCGCTACTGAAGATCAGATGGGATGGCCAGGATAACAGGAATAAGCAACAAGGAGCTCTGGGAACGAACCAACCAACAACCTATCACCCAACAAATATGTAGAAGGAGGTGGAGATTGATTGGGTATGCACTGAGAAGGCCGACTGAGGACATCACGCGTCAGGCCAGTTGCTCGAGTGGAATCCAGGTGGGAAGCGACGAGTTGGGCTTCCGTGGTGAGTGTGACATGGAGGAGATCATGTGAGGAGGAAATGAGAGCTTGTGTGTTGTTGTGGAGCCAAGTTCAAAAGATCTCGGCGAACAGCGTTCACTGGATACGTGCTACTGAAGCGGTATGTTCCACTAGGAACCCAAGGGACTAATAATAATAATAAAACTGTTATTACTAAGGCAAAGAAAGGTAAATTTTGGAAGAAACTTTTCCCTTGCAATTGTTTCATTGAGTTAGTGTACAGCAGTAAAACTTGGAGACTATGGTAGATTATAATTCCATTTTCGTCTGTTTATTAGATTCATCATACAATGAAGAAACAGTATCATTTACTAGATAATATCGTTTTGGACACAATTTGTTGTCCATATATTCCTAATTTTCTCTCCTCCTCTGTGATAACAACCGGTAGTAGAATTTCTCATATATCTAGGATAGGTGCACAAACATTTCTATTACTGCATGTATTTGGTGTTGATTCGATAAACAAAGATTCAATTATCAGTCTCTAACGCCCTCCACTCAAGTGAGTTACATTTTAACGCTGTCACTCTATCCGACCTTAATATGTGATTATATGAAAATGCGTGCAGTTGATATGGGCTTAGTTAAATGCTTAAGTGATAGGGTGGAAAAGCTTACTAGTAGACCAAGAAATCAGAAACATCAACAATACCTTTCGTTTCAATAATTACCCACCTAGATTTATAAATAAATCCATAAGAAATCGAAAGAAACATATTAACAGTGGTAGTAGTAGTGATACTGTGTTATCAATAATAATCCAAACACTAATAGTAATAATGATGACAGGGTGCATACAGAATTCAAAGCCTCTCCTGTGCTAACTAACAAACAAAGAAAGAACCTCACAAGCATTACGAAGAAGTCCCAAGAAGGATGGATCTCACCAAAGTGGTGTTCAGACCAACAAACTCGCCTACAAACAAGCCTTGTAGGTTGAAAGACCTTACCACTGCAATTCAGCGAATTCATCTGGTTTACCAAATCCCTTACAAATACATATTTCAGTCAAAGTGGTCGAGCATGGTTGATTAGAATAATGGAGTACAGAAAGGTAGCTAAATTAAGATTCGTAGATCCCAATAAGCTGGGAAATTTGAAGGGAGGTTTTTGGTGTAGTTCTGCATGTAATTACACACAATCAGACAGCACGATGGAGAATATTCGTAGCTCAGGTGGATGGTCTTGTTTTTTTGCATTCTCTGAGGTTGGGTGTCTAATCTTCAAACTGTAGTTAGTACTAATGATGTCTAAAAAAACGATGAAAGCCTCATGACTAAACAACCGAGCTCAGAAAACACAATACAACCAAGGCACAATCACACAATACGCTGGGATAGAGTGACAATATTGAAAACTTAGTTGGGTGGATAATTATTATTATTACTATTATTATTTACCCCTTGGGTTCCTAGTGGAACATAGGGCTTCAATAGCACTCCTCCATTCTACTCTCTTCGCTGCAATCTTTTCAACCTGGCTCCACGACTGCCCACAACCTCTCATTTCTCCCTCACACCATCTCCTCCATGTCACCCTTTCCTCACAAGCCCAACTCGTCGTTTCCAATCTCGGTTCCATTCTAGTGTCTGAAGCGTCATGTCCCCAGTTGGTCTTCTCAGTGCATGCCCGATGCATCTTCACTTCCTTCTGCATATTTGTTGGGTGATAGGTTCTTGGTTGGTTCGTTGCCAGCCAACCAGTGTTCCTTGTTGCTAATTCTTATTATTCTGGCCATCTGAGCTTCAGTAACGAGCGTAGGCAGCAGCTGTTGATGAATATCTGTAGTTTGCTGGAAATGCTTTTTCTAACGCACCATGTATCTGAACCATATAGAAGCACTGACTTGACTGGATTAGAGTTGAAAATCCACATCTTGTTCTTTGTGCTGAGTGCAGAAGATCTCCAAACTGGTTTGAGGTTAATGAACACCTGTCTTGCTTTTCTGATCCTGGCTTTGACTTCCTCGTCTATGCCTGTGCTATCTGTAGTTGAAACGATGCTGCCTGGCCAAGGAGATGAAAGAGGCTATTTCCTTTAAGTTTCTCCTGTTGATGGTGATTGGAGCTTGCTGTTGTTGTTGGTGGTGGCGTCGATTGGGTATCATCATCACCTCTGCCTTCTCTACGTTCACCTGAAGGAAGTGACGTCTTCGCTGACCTGTTTCTTCTGTCAATTTGTTAGTTCTTGCCTGAAGGGTTCACGAGACATTGGACACAAGTCATTGGCGAAATTCAAATCTTCTGGGTTCTTTTTCCCCGTCCAGCATATCTCCCTCTTCTCGCTCCTAACTGTTTGTTGCGTGATGCAGTCCACCATAATCAGGAAGATGATGGGTGATAGTAGGCGGCTACCTTATCTTACTCCTGTCTTCACTTCAAAGGCATCACTGAGCTTTCCACTGTGAATTACTTGGCATATGGCGTCCTCACATAGTTTCTGTACGAGGCTGCACTAAGCGTGAACAAGATCCTTATTATCAACACTAATTCAGTCGTCGGTGCTTCTATATGGTTCAGAGACTTTGCACGTTACGAAAAAGAT